GAAGGAAGAATTCCCACAATCACTCTCTCTGCACAGCCACAGACCCACACGCATAAACAACAACATGGGACAGTGAATCCTGATTTACACAACTCTCTCCACCACCATCGCCTAAACACCAAATGAGGATCTATCTTCTGGGAATTATGTTGTTCCGTTCTTCCAGTAGAGTTTCAGAGACTTCAAAGATCTACAACCCAGTTGGATCAGATATTTAAGGGTTTTCAATTTGCTAGCTCCCTATGCCAAACTCACAACATGAGCATAGTGCAGGTAACTATGGGCTGGGATCATGTGACCTGCCTATTGAAAGCTCTAATTAGGTTGAATTCAAGCAGTCAAAACACATTTGGCCCTGAATATCTCCTGCTATGTGTAAAACATTGATCTGATCCCCTCTTCACACGTTATCATCTATTAAAACTGATTAAGTCACTTTGTGTTGAGTTTTCCTTTCATTTGTCACCTGACTTTACTTTAGATACCACTTTTAATAAAAAAAAAAAATCTCTCAGTTAATCTCACACCCTATTTCGTGAACACAGTGAAGGCCAAACTTATGCATTATATCATTTATATTGACTTACAGTGGATATCACTACAAAATAACAGATCTCTAGTGAGCTTTTCTTACTCTTGGAGGCTTCAAAGGAGTTGAACTTGGTAGGCTGGACGTAGTTAACCAGAGTTGACATTTCCTCTGTTGCCACTGCTTCCCGCTCAGCTGAGCCCTGCAATAAACGACAGAAGGAATAAAGTATAAGCGTCACACATCCAAAGCATAGTTTCAAAGAGATGAGATACATCTTTTTCCATAACATCTGGAGGGAACAGCAGCTGTCATTTCAAGCAGACATTTTCATTGTTTGCAGTCCTGCATTTCTCTACACAGCACTTAGTAACAAAAAGAATGGCAGCAGCAACAGAATCTGACAGCAAACATTAATACCAACACAACAATAAAAATATACAGCAAAATGAAATCCATCGACTTTTTAAACACAAATACACAAACACTTGTGCACGCACTCTATGTCCGACCTGCTTTTCATTTCATTTTTTGTTTATTATCCTGCTACTTTTTGTTGTGCTTTTTTTTATTTGTTTCAACCTTTCACTCTCGTCTGTGTAATGGATTCTGTCTTTCTGTCTCAACACCTAACGCACTTGTGTATTTGATATCTCTTGCCACATTATGTCTCTTCTACTTTTATTCATTTACATTCAGCATCATCTGAAACTTAAAGGGGAACTCTGACATCAAACGCATATCAAAGACTGTTTACAGCTCCTGGGGAGTAGTTTAAAACAAAGTGAAAAACACACACGTTATATAAAACCTCTGGTGACTCTAAAAAGAGTTGCATAAAATCTGATAAATGGCCTTAGGTGATTTCACTCAAGACAGCGAGTTTAAAAGTTAGAAAGAAGAGAGCTTACCAGACCTCTGAAGCCAGCTGATCACCATTGCTCAAGGCTACATTAACTTTTGATACATGCAGTGCAATAAATTCCCCAGTAGCAAAGATAGAGGTAGAACAAAGTATATTTAGATGCATATATTTAGATATATGTTATAATCTATAACATATATAGAGCTGTCAAAGCTCCTCATTAATGGTACTAAAGGGTACATTAGGGGTACTAAAACAATATCAAACAGGTGATTTTGTATTTTCTTTTGCAGTGAGGTGCTGTGTGTGCACAGCACGATCTCGTCTTCTATAAAAATTAATAATTACTGCAACAAAACCTTTTTGTGATGCCAAAGCTTGGAGGAAAGCGCAACTAAAAAGGCTTTTAAATGCATATTTAATGCCGTTAAATGGTTTGTTTTACTGGAAAGCAGGATGTTTCCTAAATCTATTTCCTCTGTGCTGTACTTTGTTATAATTTAATGCAGATACACAGAAAGAATAAAAGCTGAGAGAGCAGCACTAAGAACCTATCACAGAGTGGGCATTAACAGCAACAGATATGAATCTGTCTGGGATGAAAGTGGGTTGCAAAGGGGCTTGCAGATATGCAGAAATTGTGGGCAGGCTGAAGCAACTACAGTTGCACTATGATATCACAATACAATGGCTGGTCAACTGCAGTGATTTTGTGGGAGCAACATTAGTATGATGCTCTAGCAAAACCAACATCCTGGTATCAGACAGTCAGATAAAATGATAGTAAAGTAATGCTACATAAGTGCAGTCACCTTATTAACAAAAACTGTGAAAACAGAGGAAAATGCACGAATGGTACAGATACGGAATAAACCGCTGGAGAGACAACAGCAAAAATAAAGCACAAGCAACAGCAAAAAAAAAGCAAAAAAAAAGCAAGTGTTCACAACAACCCACAACAACAACAATATTCAGGGTTCAGAACAAGATTAACAATGACAATGGCTTAAAGAATAAACAGCAAAACCATGGAAATAAACAGCACTTGTAAACATTAACGAATGGCGACAGCAGTGAGGGTGACCCTCTGTCAGCTCTGTTCGATGTCACCACTGACCTTTTTACCATCATCATCTTCATCATCATCATCTTCCTCACTCTCAGCTTCCATCTCTGTTAAAATTAAACAAGTCTTCATCATCTCTTCATCTCTTTGTCTTTTTTTTTTTTTTTCAGATATAAACGGCCAGAATAACACAGTTATTCAGCTGACACAAGAACAGGATTTGCATTCTGCTTTTCAAGCAGAATGCAAATAAAATAACCTCACATAAATACTTCAGTTTAATGAGATCTGTCCTAAAGCTGGTGAAAAGAGCTAGAGACTGATAAAAGTATTCACTGGAGGAAACTTAGCCTGTGAACTGCTAATCAGGTGTGATTGATACAATCATCCAGGAATTATCCATTAACATGACTGTTTGGTAGCAATTTAGCATATGCCTGAGAGCAAGGACTACAGATTTTCTCCTGAGCTGTAAAATAAAATCTGTGCACAAATAAACTAATGATAGATAATCATGCACAGCATCTGAGAAACACATGACAAAGGCAAATTTGTGCACCAAAGAGCAGAATATAAACCAAGCAAATAGTGGAAAGAGTTTAAACAGCCCTGTGCTTTAACTTCTCTGGTGCTGATTATTCAGCCCACACAGGCAGTCGTTGTCAAGGGTCACGGCCACTGTATGAGCATGGACTTCAGTAAAGACGCTGGTCTGATCTTCATTCACCGTTGTGCTCTCAATTGCTGTCCTGTTTTCAGAATCTGCATGTCAAACATGTCAATAAGGCTCCCTTATTTCCCTCTGCTCTGCTATTTAATTGCTGAAAAGAGCTCCAGACCTCATCTGGGATGTCCTGCTCATTAAGCATCCCTGATGAGGTGGAGTAGATAATACTTTGGGCCAAAGGATTTTACAAAAAGTCATGATGGAAATTGTGGTTTAAAGAAATGTGCTGTCCTCTGATAGTGACCTTTCAGAAAACGAAACACTACAAAATGATTTGGGGCAGTAATCACATTATTTTTCCTGGGTCTTTAAAACAAATTTGTCAGGGACAGTGCTGAAGCTCCAGCCACTGCGCCTTTTTCCAATGATGCTGATTACCCGATGACTCATGTTTGTGAGGACATACGCCTGCTGAATGTGAAAACACTTTGAAAGACACACAGTGAAAGCTTTTTTTTTGGACATCTGATGCCCTTAAGTTACAGCCGGAATCTGCCTGGGTTTTTAACATTTCTCCAGCCACGTGCAGCTGTCGAAACCACAGAAGAATTTACTGTCTGTCGTA